CAGAGAAATACACAGAAGCATGTCCTTGCTGGCAGGAGAGAGACCTGTGTTGTTTATACACAGGTCTCTCCCCTGTTAATTTTACACGGAGATCACCGGATGCTGGCGGGGAATCTCTGATTGACATCCATAGCCGCCAATGGGCCCCTACACAGAAATGCAAATCAAATATATATACACATGAGTTTGCGCAGCCTGCTGCCCTGTAGCAGTAGTTCTACTATAGGGCGGCGGGGAAGTGGTTAAAGGCAGAAGTATTTTTACCTTCATGCAATCTATAAAAAACCTTCTGTGTACTGCTCCCCCAAAGCCTCCCCCAATACTCACCTGAGCCCCCTCTCGATCCAGCAATGTGCACGAGAGCCTCGATTGTCCCAGGACTCCCTCTCCTCATTGGCTGAGACAGCAGTGGGAGCCATTGGCTCTCGTTGGTGTGAATCACAGCCAGTAAGCCAATAAGGAGAGAGTGGAGGGTGGGGCTGAGGCTCTGGTCTATGCGTCTTATGGACGCATAGAGCTGGGCTTGGGAGCAAGCATGCACCAGTACTCCCATAGCAAGCAGCTTGCTATTGGAGGCACTGGTCAAGAGGGATGAGCCAGGAGGGGGACCAGAGAAGAAGAACCTCTGAACAGAGGAGGTACAGTGAGGAACAGAAGTATTTGAACAATCTGCGATTTTGCAAGTTCTCCCACTTAGAAATCATGGAGGGGTCTGAAATTCACATTGTAGGTGCATTCCCACTCTGAGAGACAGAATTAAAAAAAAAATTCAGGAAATTACATTGTATGATTTTTAAAGAATTTATTTGTCTTGCACTGCTGAACATAAGTATTTGAACACCTGAGAAAATCAGTGTTAATATTTGGTACAGAAGCCTTTGTTTGCAATTACAGAGTTCAAACGTTTCCTGTATTTCTTCACCAGGTTTGCACACACTGCAACAGGGATTTTGGCCCACTCCTCCACACAGATCTTCTCTAGATCTGTCAGGTTTCGGGGCTGTCGCTGAGCAACACAGAGTTTCAGCTCCCTCCAAAGATGTTCTATTGGATTTAGGTCTGGAGACTGGCTAGGCCACTCCAGAACTTTGATATGCTTCTTATGGAGCCACTCCTTGGTTATCCTTTCTGTGTGCTTCGGGTCGTTGTCATCTTGGAAGACCCAGCCACGACCCATCTTCAATGCTCTGACTGAGGGAAGGAGGTTGTTGCTCTCACAATAAATGGCCCCATTCATCCTCTCCTTAATTCAGTGCCGTCGTCCTGTCCCCTTCGCAGAAAAGCACCCCCAAAGCATGATGTTACCACCCCCATGCTTCACAGTAGGGATGGTGTTCTTGGGATGCAACTCATCCTTCTTTTTCCTCCAAACACGATGAGTGAAGTTTAGACCAAAAACTTTGGTCTCATCTGACCACATTACTTTCTCCCATGCCTCCTCTGGATCATCCAGATGGTCATTGGCAAACTTCAGATGGGCCTGGACATGTGATGACTTGAGCAGGGGAACCTTCAGTGCAATGCATATTTGAAACCATGACGGCGTAGTGTTCTACCGACAGTGACCTTTGAAACTGTGGTCCCAGCTCTCTTCATGTCATTGACCAGCTCCTCCCTTGTAGTTCTGGGCTGATTCCTCACCTTTCTTATCATCAGTAATACCCCACGAGGTGAGATCTTGCATGTAGCCCCAGTCCGAGGGAGACTGACAGTCGTCTTTAGCCTCTTCCATTTTCTAACAATTGCTCCAACAGTTGATCTATTTTTACCAAGCTGCTTGGCAATTGCCCCGTAGCCCTTTCCAGCCTTGTGGAGGTCCACAATTTTGTCTCTGGTGTTTTTTGACAGCTCTTTGGTCTTGCCCATGGTAGTAGTTGGCGTCTGACTGACTGTGGGGTAGACAGGTGTCTTTAAAAAGCTCAGACAGGTGCTACTAAGTTAGATTAATGAGTGGAGTAGAGGTGGACTTTTTAAAGGCACAGTAACAGGCTCTTTGAGAGCCAGAATTCTTGCTGTTTCTTAGGTGTTCAAATACTTATGTTCAGCAGTGCAAGACAAATAAATTCTTTAAAAATCATACAATGTGATTTCCTGAATTTTTTTTTTAATTCTGTCTCTCAGAGTGGGAATGCACCTACAATGTGAATTTCAGACCCCTCCATGATTTCTAAGTGGGAGAACTTGCAAAATCGCAGGGGTGTTCAAATACTTCTGTTCCTCACTGTAGGTATGACATGCTTGTTATTTTTTTTAAAGCCAAACCTTTAATACCACTTTAAATTAGCCCCAAAATGTACGTTGACCTGCTCTCATGGCACTTCACATAAGACACAATAAACTTAGAAGACTGAAAGTAATTAGAAAAATATCCTGCAATTACAAAAAAGATATACAATCTAAGTATGTTCACAGGCAAGGAAAATCACAAATTATTTGTCATCACAAAGCAATTGGCAAACCACCCACTTTATATGATATAGCAGGAGAAAAAGCAATATGGGGAGCAACGTTCAGTAACTTATAGCAACCAAATTTAACCAAACTAATCTCATATTAGTAGATTAATAGCAAAAGGATTCTAGCAAATGTTGAATAATGCAATTTATTAATTGTTATTCCTATTGTTGATTACTATTCACATACAATAAACCACATATAATAAACCTATATCATCCTACATCATGTTCAGGAGAAAGACCATGCAAAGCTGGAGAGGTCACACAGTGAAGAACTTGTAAAAAGTTACAGACAACTATAAACTATGACCAAACTTCACGTTGGTATGATCCACTTTGTGAACTTCATGGGATGGTGAAAATTCTATGCTTTTGGGCACCACAGTCCTGGATTTACTGCTATGACCCAGTTTGTGAACTCTTCTAAAAAAAGTTCTCTAGTATCAGCCACTGCAATTGACACTACAGGCGTACCTCGGTTTACGAACGCCTCAGTTAACTAAATTTTCGGTTTATGAATGAAAATCCATTGAAAATTATGGCTCGGTTTAATTTTTTTTGCAATACAAATGGATTCATTGGTTTTCAATGCATTTACGATTTTTTTAAATCATGTCCCTGTACAGTACTATGCCTTTATAGTGCACTTTATAAAGAGTTTTGAACAGATAAGACTTTTTTTGACTTTTTTATGACCTATGGAATGGATTAATTGGTTTTCAATGCATTTACAAATGTTGTTTTAATCATGTCCCTTTATGCCTTTATAGTGCACTTTATAAAGAGTTTTGAACAGATAAGACTTTTTTTTACTTTTTTCTGACCTCCGGAATGGATTAATTGGTTTTCAATGCATTTACGAATTCATTTTTAATCATGTCCCTGTACAGTATTTATGCCTTTAAAGTGCACTTTATAAAGCATTTTGAACGATAAAAGACTTTTTTTTTTCTTTTTTTCTGACCTCCGGAACGGATTAATTGGTTTTCAATGCATTCCTATAGGAAACCACGTTTCGGTTTACGAATTTTTCGCAATACGAAAAGTCCCGCAGAACTAATTAAATTTGTAAACTGAGGTACGCCTGTAAATGGTTTGTTTAGACCAGCTTGGTCCAAATTAAATATTTAAGGTTAAATGAAACCTGGAGATCAGCTTTAGGGTACTAAACTTCAGTTTAACACATTTGTTAAAACAATTTTTTCAAACTTTTTATTACAAAAATTTTAAAAAGTACATGAAATTGATATGGTATTACTTCCTCATTGCAAAATATCGTAATCTGACGTAATACCTGTTAGCCTTAACCGGCACTTCTTACAATGCAGTTTTGTATTTGCAGAGAGCATATTATTGTATCAACTCTTGTTTGATGTTATCCAAGCCATCAGATAAGAATATATGATTGAAAAATGAGGCACACAAGTTTCTGTGTTTCTTAGACCAATGGTCTACTTCTTCAGGGGAATGTAGGGGGTTGATAATAAGCAAAGAGTATACAAATACATCTTGTTATCACATACAGTATATAACGCTTTGTATCAATATAAAAGAAATATCTAGCAGTATGACAGTGTGCATCACACATAATAATCGACATCTATAAAATCTTTATCAACATAAATACATTGGCATCCCATGCATCTTCTGGTACTGAATCACTGTCCAGACACTTACTATACTGTACATAAGAGGTTGCCACGGTCACTTACCCTTGCCCCAGAGGAGTGGAGGCCATACTGGGGACTGGTATCCGCTTATATATTTCTATGCACATCAAAATATATGATTTTTCTTCATTAGCATAATGGCTTTAACTGAATGGGACTTATGTAAAAAGAGCCTCCAGGTTTTACATAGTGTGACTGGCACTTTCCATCTTGTACACTAGTACAAGAAACCTTCTTTACCAGACCTGAGATCGAACTTTAATCATTGGTAGAAATAATGATCCAGTGCCCCACATTTGGGGTTGAAACCCCTCAGCAGTATGTAAAAAAAAAAAAACACCTAGCAACCAATCTCCAGCTGGTTAACTTGGAAAGTTAACTCCAGCAGCTCCTATCCTCTTTTCAGGGAAGTGTTCTGCCTCCTGCTTTCCGCTCTGCTGTGTTAGTGACAGTGAGTGGCGGAAGCAATCCGATGGGCGGCTCTGGGTGTCACCCCTCTGGCAGGTGTCACCCGGGTGTGGTCCATACCCCCCTAGTGACGCCACTGGCTCTGAATGACGGCGGGCTGGGTAAATGACTTTGGCACGCTGTATCTGGCCCGTGGGCCGTAGTTTAGTAAAGTGTTACTAAACCCAGGACCCTGCATTCACTATATCTGGTCTCCCACAGTGCACAGAACATGGAAGTGCAATTATTTTAGTAAATATAAACTGCTAAATATCTTTTATCATCAGCAGTTATAGCAGTCTTGTGGCTTCTAACAGTGTCCAGCCAGGTAGTTAAAGCTTGTAGGAGGAGTTTTAATTTTGCTCTAGGAGGCTGCAGGACCCCTGACCTCTGGCTGGACAGTGCTGATTGGCCCTGTGCTGATCATATGCACTCTCCCAAGAAAAAAAAAACCTCTCTAGCAATACACACCAAACTGAGCATGCGCAGAGTGTCTCCACACGATATGTCTTATCAGGAGATAAGAGGGGGATACAGGATGAAGGGGAGGATCAGAAAGTCAGGATCAAACAGCATTTTTGCACAATGCAGAGGATTAACTCTTTAGGTTCCACAGTGAGTATAACAAGTATTCTTTACTGCGTATACAGCCTGATTTTACTGTTGTGCGTTTAGTAGCACTTTTATTTGTGAGACTATATTTCCCCAAATTGTGTATTGATGTACAATGCTGAACATAGAGAAGTACAGTCATATGAATATACTGCATATAAAAATATATGAAAAGGAAAACCTATGGCCTAGGAACATACAGTATGTACTGTATAGAGGGGCGGACTGACCATTCGAGCTCTTGGGCACTGCCCGAGGGCCCCGGGTGAATAGGGAGCCCCATGAAATGCCCCTGGTACCTTTTTAATAGGCTTTTTTGAGTGTGGGCAAATACACGGGGGCCCCATGATCCCCGATTGCCCGGGGGCCTTATGAATTGTCAGTCCGCCCCTGACTGCACATAAGCAATATTATCAATCACATGCAAAATTTGTCTTGCTATGTTCTTAGTAAGAACTTTATCCTTTAATTCAGTTGTGTCCTTGATAACATCTGTCACAATCAGAGGATAAGACCACCTGGGACTGTAAACTCACAATCTAGCCGGCCAGTGGAAACAACTAAACAGGGTACCGGTCTTCGCAGATGCAGGAGCAGAGTCGCAGGATCTTAGGAGCCACCCAGTCTTCACCAGAGTTTTGGAGGTGTGGATGTTGCACTGAGTGGCAGCCCCTAGGTTGCAGCTCTCTAACACCCCCGTGCGGGCACAGTGCAACCTAATAGCACACCGAAAGGACATGAAGTGTGCACAGGATCTTAGGAATCAAGGTAACCTACTGCAATAAACTGGGAAGGGATGCCAGAGGAGAAGATGCAGGGAACAAGAGTAAAAAGCGGGAGAATGGGTGATTCAGAGCAATGGTGCAGAGAGAGAGGGCTGTGGGGCAAACAACAAGAAATAATGTTGAGAAGGACACACACAGAAATAGGAAATGAAGGGATCCATGGACAGAGACCAAAGGGAATAAAACTGCACAGCCCGAGGGAAAACACTGAAAACAAAGACAGAATCAAACACACAGAATATGGGAATACTCAAGCAGCGGCAAACACCACCAGAGGGATCTGGCTTCCACATGAAGACACGTGGCTTGAACACAGGTACAAAGGCTTAACAATGTAGGACATAAAAAAAGGGAAAAAACCTGTGCTACACCCCAGACAATACAATATGTGAGTAAAAGTGTGAAAAAAATATGTATTCTGAAACAATAGTGAAACAATTAGTGAACTACTGCTATTCTTTCCCTGAACACCAGAAAATACAAAACATATAAAAAAATTAGTGTGCTGTACACTAAAAAATCATAAACAATAATAAATCAAATAAATATTGCTGCATAAAAAATTTGCATAAATTAATTGAAATTATATAAATCCACATTCATATATTAAATAATTAAAAGCCCCAAAATCCAATAACACGGTGCTGTGTGCTAAAGGAATCCTCCAACGGAAAGTGCGTAGATGTCCACAAATGCTTGACACAAAAGAAAAAAATCAGCCTCTCCACTTGAACAAATTCATCACATCAGAGAGCTCTCCACATCATGCAAGGAAATATTTAAAACACAAAAAAAAAAAAAAAGTTCTCCAATCCAAGAGGACACCATTTTTGGACAAACGCGCATCGGGCAGAGCTTTCTGTGATGTCACCTTGTTCTGGCCGGCGGTCTGACACCGCAGGAATTTTAAATGTTTACACTGCCTTTATGCACCTTGTCTATTTAAGTGCAATACTTTAATACATTTTTTGCTGGTTTATTGGGTCGCACTATGAAGTTTCTTCTTCTGTTTTAAACCTTTCCTTGCATGATGTGGAGAGCTGTCTAATGTGATGGATTCGTTCAAGTGAACCTGCAGTTGTCCATCTCCTATTCATCTCCTTGATATGGCTAACTAGGCTGTCAGTGTGGGATCTGAACACCATTCACTTGTTTGATCTCTTGATTGGAGATCAATGTGTCTGGTGAGAGGCTGATTTTTTTTTTTTTGTCAAGCATTTGTGGACACTTATGCACTTTCTGTTGGAGGATTTCTTTAGCACGCAGCACTGTGTTATTGGATTTGGGGACTTTTCATTATTTAATATATGAATGTGGACTTATATCATTTCAGTTAATGTATGCACATTTTTTATGCAGCAGTATTTATTTGATGTATTATTGTTTATGATTTTTTTTAGTGTACAGCGCACTCATTTTTTATAGGCTTAACAATACCTAGGTTGAAGGTGGATAGGCAGGAACCTGGGCAACTTGGACAGGAGGCAAAACCCAGTGCCAGATCGATGTGCACAGAAGCATGACAACAACCCTCCATTTAAATTGCTCCTTTACTGGGTCTAGGCTAATGAACTAACCATGCAAATTTTATTTTTTTTATTGTATGTAAAAAGCTATGAATTATAAATTAAGTAAAGGAAATGGCACATGTTACAAGCCATTATGTATATTTGTTCCTGAAATAGTAGCATATGACTTAATTATGCTTGGATTTCTTCAAAATGTTATCCAATGTAGTTTCCTCTGAGAACAGAACAAAATAATACTAAATAAGTGAAAGCATGTGGTATGGCCAGTATCACATTAGCAATAACAAATTGACCGAAGATGTTATTTTTTTATAAAATAAACTATTTTTTAATGTTTAGCAATTGATGTTTGCCAATATCCAGCAGTTATTACCTCTTCTGTGGTGTGACCAAAAAAATCACTTTATTTTGAATACTGTTCTTTGTGCACAAGTTTTCTATATATGTGGTCCATTGCTGGTAGTAAAAACAAGACAGAGTAGAAAAAATAAAAATGCAGCAGAGAATATGTAAAATTTTTGAAAATACATAATTTATCTCATAGAAAAATTAACATTATTTGTTCAAGTTTATCAGTGTCCAAACTGATGTTACTATTCTAGTCAAACACCTAAATACATGGATAAAATACCAACAAGGGAGATGTTTTACATGCCAAAGGATTTGCATTTATGTCCTTGTTTACACACCTGTTTTGTTTGCATTTATTAAGGTTACTTTGCAGTATAGCTAACCCAAAGGAGCAACTAAAACTCTCGGGCCCCTCCTCTTCTCCATCTATATCTCCTCCCTTGGCAAACTTTTTCCTCCCACGGCTTCAATTACTACCTCTATGCCGACGACACCCAAATTTAACTCTCCACCCCCCCACCCCCCACCCCCTCACTCTCTGCCCGCATCGCCCACCTCCTAAACGACATATCAGACTGGATGTCGCTCCATTTCCTCAAACTTAACCTATCCAAAACCGAGCTCCTGGTCTTCCACCCACCCCGCACCCCCCCCATCCTCTCCATCACTACTAACAACGCCACCATCTCTCCCACCCCACACGCCAAAGTCCTGGGTGTCACCCTGGACTCCCACCTCTCCTTCCTACCCCACATCCAACTGCTATCTAGATCTTGCAGGCTCCACCTCCACAACATCTCCAAGATACGCACATTCCTCACCCCAGACACCACCAAACAACTCGTACACTCCCTCATCATCTCACGCCTGGACTATTGCAATTCCCTTCTCACTGGCCTACCCAAACGAACGCTATCCCCACCCCAGTCGATCCTAAATTCATCCACCTCACCAACTGCTCCACAACTGCCTCCCCCCTCTGCCAATCCCTTCATTGGCTCCCGATTGCCCAATGCATCAAATTCAAACTGCTAACTCTGACCTACAAAGCCATTCACAACGCCGCCCCAAACTACATAACTGACCTGATACCCAAATTCTACCCTACCCGTGCCCTCCGCTCCTCACAGGACCTCCTACTCTCTAGCTCCCTGGTCTCCTCCCACACCCGATTGCAGGACTTCTCTAGGACTTCTCCCATCCTCTGGAACTCCCTACCCCAAATCATCAGACTGTCACCTACCCTCCTCACCTTCAGGAGCACCCTGAAAACCCTCCTCTTCAGGGAAGCCTACCCCAACCTCACCTAACACCTGACCTCACCTAACAACTAACCTCCTCCACTCCTCCCACCACTCCATCCCCCACAGCCATTTCCTCCTGTACCACCTTCCCCTCCCCCCTAGATTGTAAGCTCGAAAGAGCAGGGCCCTCGAACCCCTTGTGTATTGTATTGTTACTGTCTTGTCTCATGTTCTGTCCCCCTTGCTACTGAGAAAGCGCTGAGCATACCCTTTGGCGCTATATAAATACTGTATAATAATAATAGTATGTTAATATTTGCTTTACTAAACAGAAAAAGCTGCATATACAACTGTAGGAAAAACAATTCATATCATGCAAATTATAACAAAATAAACCTACAGCATGCACAAGCTGACTACAAGCATAACTCGGTTTACGAATTTAATTCGTTCTGCAGGACTTTTCATATAGCAAAAAATTTGTAAACCAAAACGTTGTTTCCCATAGGAATCCATTGCAAACCAATAACTCCATTCTGGAGGTCAGAAAAAGGTAAACGCTACTAAAATACTGCATGAGTTATTTTATCAAGTCATGCGGTATTTTAGTAGTGACAACTATGTGTTATTGTTTCAACTGTCAGCGGGGTTCCCCACCGATAGCTGAATGTAAAAGAATTTCCGGCAATTAAAAATATAAATTAAAAACTGGTGTGGGGCCCCCCCTCCCATCCATACCAAGCCCTTCGGGTCTGGTATGGATTTTTGAGGGAACTCCCATGCCAAAATGTAAAAACAAAATGGGTGCCCCCCCCCAAAAAAAAATCCATACCAGACCCTTATTCGAGTATGCAGCCCGGCAGGTCAGGAAAGGGGGGGGGGCGAGCGAGCACCCCCCCTCCTGAACCATACCAGGCCACATGCCCTCAACATGGGGGGGTGCTTTGGGGCAGCTTCGGAGAAGCTGGAAGCAGTCAGGAATATGACTCCATCACAAAGAAAGATCCAAGTTAAGGAATTGTTTAGTTTATGCCCATCACATGCATTGTACAGATTTGCTAGGAAGATACAGGTGTACCTCAGTTTACAAACGCCTCGGTTAACGTAATTTTCGGTTTACAAATGAAAATCCATTGAAAATAATGCTTTGGTTTACACATTTTTTAGGAATTTTTTTTGCAATACGAAGTGTATATAGGTGCAGATTTTTAAATGCATCCTTTGTTGCTGAGCACATGGTTGTTCAAAGTCCTTTACCCACCCCCACTTCCTGTACAGCATTTCCTGCCCTGAGCTTCACAAACTAGTCCAACAAGTTCATTTGCCATTCAAGGGGAGAGGCCTAGCTTGTAAAAATACTGCATTACTAAAA